ATCCTTACCCATAAACTCTCAGTTAGCTCTGAGAATGGTCTTGGCCATACAGTTGTTGCACTTTAAAAGCTGTCTCTACTCATCCTGCCAAGCCTTCAAAAGGTACAGCTTGGCACCTCTTCTACAGAAGAGCTGGTTTTGTCATCACCTCTGCCTTGTTCTCTGTTTAGGAAACCAGCAGTCCCCATGGGCAGCAGCAGCTCTGTTGACCCCTTCTGTTTGGGGCAGAGACTCGGGATCTGCGGTGGTTTGTCAGCAGCTGGAAACTTGGTTTTGATGTGTGGTGGAGTCGGTCCCCATGAGGGCCTTTTCACCACCTCCAAGTTGACTTTTATGGATGGAGTGTCAGCAAGAGCGTCCTGTCGGTAGCTCCATGGCAGATGCAGAGGGAGGGCCTTCAGCTGGAGGTGCTGCAGCCTGTGTAGGGCTGGTCTCTGTGCTGGAGGCCAGGCTGCAACTCTGCACAAACGCAGATCAACCAGCTGTGGTTCCAGGCAGCCTGCACAGGCATTGGCATCCTCCTCACAGCCATGGAGCTTGGTGCTTGGTGCTGTGACAAACCCTGAGGGATTGTCCTCCCACACTCGGGTTCAGTTGTCTGAGCACCCCATGTTCTTTTGGTGGTGGTGATTTATTTCTTATTGTCTGTAATGGAAGTTCCTCTTTTTTTTTTTTTTTAACCTTTGGGGTAGGGCTAGTGAGAAAAATACCACCTTGAAATCCAGTGAGTCCTTTCTGTCAATGGGAGCAGGTTGGATCTGTCACTTCTGGAAGCAGTAAATCAGGTTGACTTGGTTGACAATATTGGGAGAAAAAAGAGCTGGCTTTCAGGAACGTATCCAGGTGATGAAAGGTGCACATCTAGTCTGTGACCTAAGGTATTGCCTGTCACCACCGCTGTTTGCAGACTGCTGTAGTGTAAGTAGGTACAACCTTCAACCTTGCTCTGCAGCAACGTAGGCTGGTCTTGGTTGTGGTCATTTTGAAACATATAAATGGTTTTGAAACTAGTCTTGTTTGATAGGCCCTTGAAACTAAACCCAAAACTCAGGTGAAGATATAGCCATGCCTGTTTCTGCTTTCAGGTAATAATGTGTGATAAGAGCTTTGACAACATTTTGAAAAAGTACTTAAAAGCTTTGGCTTATTAAAAAACTGTAATTCCCCCTTGCTAATAATTTTGTAAGACTTTGAGCTTTCTGTTCATCTCTCCCTTCCTCTCACGCCTCCCTGTAGAAAGCAGCCCCCTCACCTGTGTGCTGTGTGTCATCAGCCCCGTTTCTCTGGACACAGCATGCTTTGACCTATCTATATGTGAATGTACCTATAGGATGGCAAAAACTGTACTGCAGCGAACTGGTGCCAGATTCCCTTGGGACTTCCACGGAGCCCTGTAACCCTGTTTGACTTGTGTGGCTTTTTTGTAAGCAAAGATCCTTGCCACTCCCAGCTTTCCTCCTTTGCCCTCCCTGCTAAGATCATTTACTTTCAGCGACCAAAGGGATGGCTGTTTTTGTTAAAACTTCAGGCCAAAACAGAGAGCGTACAGAAGTGCCTTCTGTCAGTTTCTGAGGGAGAATCATGCACCTGTAAAATGAATTTACCATGTGCAGATACCCCTGAAGGTGATGAGATGCTTTAATTATATTTGGAGCACTAGCTCTCTCTGGTGCTTTGAAGCAGGTTCCCAAAGAGACATATTTAATCAAATTTATGTTTATTTCAGGCTTACCCTCTCTAGATCCATCCAACAGCTCTACAACTTCTTCTTCAGGTCCTTTGACAGGCTTTTCAGCAAACATACAAGGAGCACGGGTTTACCTTCAAGGGCCAGCGCCTGTTGGGACTCCCAGCTTTAACAGACAGCATTTTTCACCACATCCTTGGACAAGCGCAACAAATTCATGTAGGAACTTCATGGGTCTGTCTTAGTTAACTATAAATTCATAGCTATTGTCTTTAGTAGATTTGTAACTTGAGGGGAAATTACCCAGTGATGCACAAAATGCTTTCCAATTGCTTTTAGCAGCTGTCAGGACGGCTTGCAAATCCTAAGCTGTACTGTTTTGTGTTTTTTCCCATGTAAAATGCCACTAGTTCTGGTAGCATTACTAAAGGCATACTTGGGCAAAAAAATCAGTCATTGTAGGCTCTGAGAGGAGAGGGCATGAAGCTGTGGGGGAGTGGAGGTTATTATATCAAGCTAAAGATTCCCCTTTAAGTAGTATGAGTGTAATATTAGGTGAAAATGTCATGTTTGCCATGGTTTGAAGTTATACTTGCCTTTTTTTCTTCTTTCCTTTTTTTTTTTTTTTTTTTTTTTTTTTAATTGGGATTCTGGAATTTTTTCATGTTGCTTAAAATTTTCCAAAATCTTTAAGCATCATCCAAGGTAACAGTGGGTTTTCCTCCTAATGGGAAGAACATGGAAGTAGCTTTAGAGAAAATATGGGTCTTTGATTCAGAATCTTAAGTGAAGAGGCTTTTCTTGTCACTGCATGCAGCTTCATTGCCACTCTGAGCTTAAGAACCGAAACATTTAAATGAGTGCTCAAAGGAAGTTGGATTTCCCAAGAGTCAGTGACACTTCTGAAGTTGGTGGGACTTAACGTAAAAGCGTTACACATGTGGCTTTGGGAAGCTGTCTAATTTCTCTTCTGCTGGAAGTGGTGGTTACCAAAACCAGGCTGTTTAGATATTTATGGTATTTTGGCTGATGTTTTCACCTCTTCCTGAAACTCTTCCATGTTTCTTATTCTTTCTTGTAATTAATTTAGATGTACTGCTATGTCATGAGAATATCACAATTCTGTTGGCTGAAAGCATTTGTGTTACAATGTTCATTTTAGAATTAAAATAAACTCTGTGCAGAATTTCTGTGAAAGACTTGAAGAATGCTTGCCAAAAAAGGCTTTAAAACCTTTTTGTCATTTGCTTTGAGATAATATTGGGGGGATAGAGTGGGTAGCATTTATGCTCTCTAGCTTGTGTGCTTTGTGTGTAATTAAGCAAGAGAAATACTCTTTTCAGCAGGTGAATCTCCTATTCCATCAGTTTCGTCAGGATCATCTTCGCCTCTTTCAGCTGCTTCTGCACCTTCTAACTTGGGCCAGCCAAAAACGGGTAACGCCAATCAAGATCGAAAGGTACCCCCTCCCATCGGAACAGAAAGGCTGGCTCGAATTCGACAGGGAGGATCGGTCACTCCTACACCCTTAGGAACCAACTTCACAGCTCCTGTTGGTCACAGCGGTATTTGGTCCTTTGGAGTTAACAGTGTATCTGGTAAGTCTGTCCTACAGCCTGGGGAAGCCTAAAGAAACTTCTGGGGCCTTTTGGAAGTGCTACATTTGAAAAGAAGGTTGGGGAGGAGAAATAAAGTTCCTTCTCTGCTGAAGGGAGAACTAATGTCAGTGGCGAGAGAGTGCGCGTCAATGAAAGTACTGTGGTTTTCTCTCCTGATGGAGGTGGTTCTCACCCAGCCTAGTTTATCTGTCAGAGTGCACTTGCAAACTCTGAGAACAGTTCAGAAATTTCATTTTAAGCCTATGGAATGATAGGGAATTTAAAAAGTAAACAACTTTTATCTGTTAAGGGGTCCATTTCCAAGTCTGACCCTTGGCCTAAAAGGCGAGCTGCCTCCACCCAAGTTTCTAGTTTGCTTTCCATTAACACTTTAAAATTTTAGCTGTGGTGCAGCTAATGCATCCAGAAACACGTAGCTCTGGATGCTGATTTTTTGCATTGATCTCCCTGTGACTCCTGAATAGTATGGGGTAACTTCTGTTCCAGGCAGACCCAGTTTCAAAATAATGTCTTTGAAACAACTGAAGTTTCCTGATAGTTTGAGGTTCCTACTGTGGTGCTGCAGCATTTGAGGTGCAGAGTGTTTCCATTGGTAATTTTAAAGACAAATGTTTAATAGTCCTGCATTTGTTATATTTTTTAGTGAAACCCTCCATACTTTTGTTAACCTAGTGTATCAGCATTGCTGTGTTTTTTCAAGCTTATATGTGTTCACAGACAGTGCTTGGAGGTTTACTGGATCTTAGGTGTTCCACTGTGGGCACCTGAAACTTCCAGTTACCAGTACTCTCCACTATCTCCACACTTGTCTGGAGGATCAAGATGAATGTACATGCAGATGGCATGGGCCTGGCCAAACTTGCCTGGCCTCACCAGTCTCTCTTCTTTCCCTGTTTTTGCCCCTGTCAGAAGTGTAACTTTTTCCTGTGGTACATGAGGATGTGGGAGCTGGAGGGAAAGAAAGTGTGTGTGTGTCTCAGAGCAGAGCCCTAAGATACCTCTGTGGTTGTGTGCTTTTGGGGAGGCTTTGGATGTATGTAGGAGTGTGCGCAGCTGCTGAATTCTACTCCAGAGTATTTTTGATGAATTGTAATCAGCCATTTTCAATCTCCTCATTTCCAGAAGGCTTGTCAGGTTGGTCTCAGCCTGTCATGGGAAATCATCCGATGCATCAGCAGCTGTCGGACCCAGGCACATTTTCTCAGCATCAGCCAATGGAGAGAGATGATTCTGGAATAGTGGCTCCCTCAAATATTTTCCACCAACCTATGCCAAATAGTTTTGTCGATTTTTCTAAAGTAAGTTACAGAGGATTGGGTTTACTGTCTAAAATGACCAAGGACTTTGTTGTATCTCCTGTTCTGCCTGTTTAGACTCTGTGTGTGTGCCTCTTCCACCATTGTTTTCCACACCTAGTCCTGAATCTCCTTCCATCCCAGTACTGACTAGAAAAGGTGCCCAGGCCTGGTGGTGCATGTAAACAGAATCAGAATTTGTAGATTGCAAATATTCCCTTGTCAAGTAGCCGAATGCCTCCATCGCTCTGCAGTGTTTCCTCTCTCAGAGGCTCAGTCACTCGGAAATGTTTCATAAGGCTTGCTCAGCTCTTGAGGCTAGTTAAAGGCTTTCTTAATGCTTTCAGTACAGATGATACCTGTGAATACTTCAGGCCTTTCTTCAGAAAGGGGCAGGACGAGAGGGACACTTGGAATTCAATGCCTTGCGTGTTAATGGTGGAAAGTAGCTTGAGGCAGACAGATGAGGCAGCTCAGCCACCACTGCTCACAGCATGTTTCAGGAGTACCTGTTGCATAATGCTCTTGGGATCTTAATTGCAGAGCAGCAGTCATTCAAACATGGGAAAGAAATCTCATAATTGCAAAAAGCTGCTCTAACTTGCTCTTTCTGAACTGGAAGAATATTTTAGATGGCCATTAGTAATTTATAGAAAATCTTTAAGTCAGAGTATCGTAGGCTGAAACTGTATGTGGGCTTTGCTGAAGCGCAGCCCCTGGCTGCAGCCCTCCCTGCGCCAGAGTTGTCATGCATTGCAGAGATAAGAGGAGGGAGCGCCGAGATCACTTTGTACAGCTGCTGTGTTTGGCTTTACAGGACCATCTGAAAGCACTATGCAGAGACTGCTGCATACACACACACTTGGCAAGTGTAATTTCAGAAAAGTGAGTAAACTGACTTGAGTCTCAAGCTCTGAAGAGTCACCGTATTCCACACTCTGCTTAGGTGTGCAGCAGTGCCCCATTCCCTCACTGTGCTGAGAGATTTGCCAGTAGGTGAATGTTACGTACAGATGTGAACTGCCCGTCATTTTGGCAAACGCAGTGCCATGGTCATCCTTCACAGCCACTGCCTTCTTCACCGATGGTGCTTTCTCTTCTTCCTTCAGGGCCTACCAATCTCCATGTATGGCGGCACTCTCATACCCTCGCACCCTCAGCTAGCGGATGGCCCAGGAGGCCCTCTCTTCAACGGGCTCCATACTCCAGATCCCGCCTGGAACCCCATGATCAAAGTTGTCCAGAACTCGACAGAATGTACGGATGCTCAGCAGGTAGTGTGGCTGCCTTTTCCCTCCTTTGCTTACCTGGGGCTTGTTGCGGTGTTGGGCTTTTTGTTCGTCTTCATTTTTGGATGGGTGAATTCTATTTTTTCAGTTCTTTGGTACTAGAATTGAGGTTGTTTGCATGACTGTTCCCCTACAGACTGTGTGTTTATAAAAAAAAATATATGGTGCTCTCTGTACCAAACCTTTCAGGTAAAGTACACAGCATTTGAAGACTGCTCAGCCAGGTAATCAGCTGTTATAAGTGAGAGAGTTTATATCCTTGCTCAGCATCTTGCAGGTTGTCAGTCAAACCTTGGCCAGAGGTGAAGAGGGCTCCCAGCATTTGGATGGTCTGATTGTGTTTTAGGGGGAAGCCTTAAGCTTGCCCTCTTGTGGTTAAATGCTCTGTTAAAGGAACCTTTATTTGTTTTCATAATAGACTTGTCTTTTTATTTTTTGCTGTAGATTTGGCCTGGCACCTGGGCACCTCACATTGGAAACATGCATCTCAAGTACGTCAACTGATTTAAGGGTGTCTATTCTTTTTTAGCCTTGTTTGAGAATCTTTATGATCTTGAAGAACCTTGGGGATTTTTTTTAATGTGCCTAACTAAGGAATTTTTCTGTGGGCTGTAAAAAATGGAAACTTGATTGCCCATTGTATAAGAACAAATTGATTTACCTATACAAACTGATTCTGTTCTCTAGTTAGTTTAGCCATTAAAATTAAAAATCAGACTAAACTAGTGCTTTTGGCTAAACACTACTGAACGCTCCTTGTATGCAGCAGAGAACTATCTGATTACATGATTTCAACCTTTTAGGATGGTAAATACATCTATAATTGTTTACATACTTAAAAAGAAAAGCTGAGTAAAATTCATGTGGAATAGTGGCTCTACTTTATGTAGCCTGTATTAATGTGAAATATTTACCTGAATATTCAATAAAAGGCAAACAGTATTTATAGGTTGTGTGTGAGAATTTTGGAAGAGGCTGTATGTTGTTGTCATCGGTAGCTGCTGCTGTGCCCAGTGATGCATCTTTTTCAGGGTCACGTCATGAGCACGTGGATGCAGTTAGGGTTTGGGAGAGGGTTTTGATGCGCAGTCATCTGCGATACGAGGTCTAATAAGTCCCGGCCAAATGTTAGCCTTTTTTTTTGTGTGTGTCTCCGTTGTTCTTTTTTTTTTTTTTTTTTTTTTTTTTTCCTTCTGGATTAGTTCTACCACTTCTAGCACACTTTTTCCAGGAGGGTTGCCAGAGAGATCAGGTTTTGTTCAGGGGCTGGAAATACAGGCTGAGTTGACAACATGGCAACTGGTGGCATCTTGATTTGCAGAAGGTAAATAGGTAGTTGGTAGGTAGATGCAGAGTTTCTTCACCTGACTCACTGTGACCAGCTGCCTAGAAGCAGATCTCAGGAAAGCAGAGACCACTTCCCAGTAGATAAAAACATAATATGTTGAATTCTAAGCTTCTTGTAACCCCTTAAATCTGGTAAGAGCTCTCCCAAGTCCTTTCTGTGAGGATGAAGGGGATTATTGCATACTGCTTCAGATTCATTGTCTGCCCAGGCACTGAAGTTCTCCCCTTTCTGCACTTGGACTAAGCTTATTTCTGCTTTTGCTCAGTGGCGATGCAGTAACTACGCTGAGTATTTGGTCCATTCTTCAAGCAGGTAACTACAGTGCACGTAGTATCCAGTCTAACGGACCACTGCTGGTGGTCTCTCAAACCCCCAGACTTCTCCGCCTTCTCCAGACAAATCCTTACATGCAGCAGCAGAATTTCCCCAGGAAAAGCATGAGGAAGGAGTACTGAAAACCCAAAGTGCACAAGCAATAATCCAAGTACCGTAGGCAGACAGACCTCAGCAGCGCTGCTGGAGGATGTGCAGATATTGTGCCCAGAGTTTGAGGAAAAAATGCAAAACCCATTGAATTGCTGCTGTGCCCCTGCTAGTGCCAACCCCAGAGGAGAAGCACTCACTCCCCAGTAATTGTACTGGAAACAAATGGTGCTGGAGTGCAGCATGGGGTGCACATGCTCTTGGGGTGAGTTGTGGGGGAGGGGCCTTAGGCTGCCCCTCCCCCTCCCATGTGGGCTCCATGGCCTCGATGGGCACCACCACCTCCTCCTGCCCCATCCTATGGAGCTACCATCTCCCCATCCCGAAGGGCTACAGCTCCATGCCAGGTGGCACCATCTACTTCACCATGCCAGGGCATAAGACCCAGCATAGGGATGGATGGGCTTGTCCCTCAAATGGAACGGTGGCCTCAGGTGCCCCATCCCTGCTGTGGGCTCCATGGCCTCGATGGGCACCACCACCTCCTCCTGCCCCATCCTATGGAGCTACCATCTCCCCATCCCGAAGGGCTACAGCTCCATGCCAGGTGGCACCATCTACTTCACCATGCCAGGGCATAAGACCCAGCATAGGGATGGATGGGCTTGTCCCTCAAATGGAACGGTGGCCTCAGGTGCCCCATCCCTGCCTAACTTAGGCAGCTCCTTCCTGAGCAGATCCCTTCTTGGGCTTTCCACCCTAGGGGCATGGACATCTGCTCAGGGCATCAGATCCAGGCAGGTCTATGGGTTGGTGCTTCCCTGGCAGCCCAAAGCTGGAGCGGAAAAAGTAACCCCAAAGCTTTGTAGGAAGATCCTGTTAGAAGTTAGGGCTATCGTGGCAGAGGCAGTGCCTGGTGCTCTGGGGAGCAGGCTGCCGGTGGCGTCGCTGGGGTTGTGGGTGCAGTGGTAGTCCCTCAGGGTGGGTCATGCCTGGGCACAGCTGGCAACGCTGGGGGAAGTGCAGGAGACTAGTGCAAGCACCCTGCTCCCACTTGAGCTCACCAGCCCTGGGGGGAAGCTCCTGGGTGGCACAGCTCCCTCCAGGGGCACCCTAGGCTTGCCCTCTTGCCCCCCTTCCAAGCCCCTGCTGCAGCCCCCAGTTGAGCTGTCGAGTGGGTCCTTTTCTTTGCTGTCTGTCCTCAGGGCAGCATGTACCCCGGCCCTGAGCTGGGCACGTTTCGGTTGAGCTGCAGGTGCCCACCCTGTGGGTGCTGGCTGCATTGTGTGCCCCTGATAAGCTTATCTGGGGCTGGGGAGTAGGTTGCAGTGCCGGGAAGGGTCTGGCCTGTGGCCTTGCTGCCGCCACGGGCTGGCCTTGC